AGAGTCAGGCATAGCGGACCAAGTCAAGCAGCGGCATAGCTGCTTTGGGTTGTCTTCTGGACATCAGGGCAGCACCATAGCTGCCACCCAGTAGTCCACCATGGCCTATGCATGAGAGAGGAGGTTGAAGGAGGGAAGACATAGCCATGGTGGACTTGTTGTTGTGTTGATTGTGAGTTGAGTCAGCAGTAAGGGGGAACTTCGGATATTGATTCTGGTTCATCCATTCATTGTTATTATTATTATTGAGAGAAGAATAAGATTGGTGAAGAGAAGGATGAGGAAGGTGGAGAGAGAAGGGGGAATTGTCATTGGTCTTGCTGGTGTACTACTTCTTCTTCTTCTTCTTCTTCTTCTTCTTCTTTACCTCTCCTCTGGTCTTTATCTCTTTGCAAGTGCTTTCATTTCTTTCGCAATTGGGTGGCATTGTCTTTCATTGTGAATTTGCACTTGGGAAATGACCAGGATCGTAACAATTGGTATCGGAGCGGACTTACTTGCTGGCGAGAGGTGTTAGTCACCCTAACCCTAAATTCCGAATTAGGTTAGGGCTAACCTAATCTCGGATTAGAGTTGGAAGTTAGGGTTAAGTGGGGCAGCGAGGTATGGGGATGCTGCCCCCACCTGGTTAGGTCATGTAAGGTCGACATTGGACCCAACCAGGTTGCTTGAGTGAATGTATGGGTTGGCGAGACACAAAGGAGGCTGTTTGGAGTAAGCGAGAGGGAGTAGAGAGTGAGAGGCACTCGCACCTGGAATCTGGACTTCGGGAAGACATTGAATGACGTTTGGGCTTCCCCTCAAGAGGGAGACTTCATCGCAGGCTGCCATATCTGCATTGGATTGCTGCAATTTGCTACTTTGGTCTTCAGGCATCGACGGGGGATCCGGCTTTGCAACAGGGGTGTAGGAAGGCCCTCTTAGTCATGCTAGGACACTTCGTGTAGTGGTAGCTAGGGGTCAGGAGGACTTATATGAGAGGGGAGTGACTCGTAATCCATCTTTGGAGGCCGGGCCTCACAGGTAAGTGCCGTGTGACCTGGGAAAGCGCGTGGGAGGTTGCTTGGTGCTTCATGGCCTGTTGGGGTTGTGCTGGGTTCTCTTCCTCTTCTCTGCGGTCTTGGTTGTGTGTGTGAGCTTGTGGATTGCTTTCTCACCTGATCGATGGATGCATGATGTATCCACTCTAAATGACATATCTTTCTACGGTGCATTGTCTTTTCATTTCTGAACGGTTGTAGAAGTGAGTTCTTGCTGAAAGTTGTCTTTTCCTTTTCAGTACGGTAGAGGCAGTTTGGGACCGACTTGGCACCCCTATCACGTTGGTCCTGGTCCACGGCCTACTTGGGACCCCTCGGGACCCAGTGGGACCAGGCCCAACGGGACAGGACCTTTTGGGCCCACATCTGTTGCCGCCAGTGCATTTCTTTGCTGTGCTGGAATTGGGGGACATACAGACAGCAAGGGCATTCCTTTCAAGGGGATCTTGACTGGCCTTACCGCATGTTAGCACATATTGCCCCGCGTCTGACTCGGCGACCATCTGCACCCCTCGAAATCTGCATTGCTGCAGATTAGTCTTCTTCGTCTGATTTACTGTGATGTATGTCCCCTGTCAGGTTAGACAAGAGGGGATCTCCAGCTGATCTGATCAGGCCCGTTCTATAAATCAGACCTCTCTGCTGTTTCTATTTTTTTTTTTTTTTTTTTTTTTTAATTTATTCTTCTGCTGCTTGCCACACTCTAAGTCCAAATGATTCGCCGCTCCGGCCAGGAGTTCTACCTTCTTCTCTGAGCGGTTTTCAGTTTGTTTCTTGCATCTGAACTATCTATGTCCAGTATTAAGACGCGTGCGCAGACAGCGAAGAGAGAAGAAAGGGAGAGAGAAGGTGTTCTGTTTGAGAGTGTGAGGAAGGGCAAGAGGAGTGTTCGTCCAAACGTAAGGAGAGAGCGGACCCCTCTTGAGAGTTCTACTGACGCCCCTTCCTCCAGCATGGCGGTCATCACATCTGCCCAATGGCAGGCCATGCTGGACGCAGCAGACGAGAGCCAGAAACCATTCTTTCAAAAATTGTATGATGATGCCGTGCAGAAGGAAAGGGAGGCAGCGGCAGCAGCTAGAGCCGCCGATATTGCTGATCAGGTGGCTCTCCTTCGGATCCCGGAAGCCAATGCTGACCGGTTCCAGGAGGAATTAGCTGCTGCTGTAGCAGCCTTGGTCCGACTGCGGACCTCGGAAAACCTTGAGTCTCGTATGACAGCACTTGAGCAGCGGAACGAAGAGCTGCAGGCTAAGGTAATTAGCCTCGAGCAGTCCCAGTTGTCTGCCTCCCGCCCTCCTAACCCTCGATCTGCTATAATCCCAACCTCTCAAGCCAACACAGCCCTCGTGCCAAGGGCAAGCGGAACCGTGGCAAGCGCGGGAACCGGCGCCAGCTCCTCGAGCGGCAGCACCGGCAGTTCTGCGCTGGTCATGGTCCCGAATGCAGGGACATCAGCCCAAAACGCCGCAGTCCCTACTGGCGTTCAGTACAGCGGTCCCATGGTGGATAAGCGGGCGGCCACGCTGCCGTCCAAGTACGACGGGAAGGCTGACATCACCTCTTGGATTAGTTCCATGAGGTCGTATTTCGAGGTCATGCGGACACCGCAAGAGGACCGAAGTATGATCATGGGGACTAATACTGAGCCGGCCTTACGAAACCACATTGAGCTCCAAGCTGTCGCAGCAGGCTATGAATGCATAGACCTGACTGATTGGCTGAAGGTCACCCCTGCCCGCGCCCTTGAGGATCTTCTCCTTGATCGGTACCGAGATAAACATGCTGCGCTCAAGGCTAGGCTCAAGCTTGAGGCCCTCAAGGGCCAAACCTGGAGGTCATCCATGCAGGCTTTGGAACAGCACTTGACTGGTCTGTTCAACAATCCGGATCTGGGAATGACTGACGTATCTTGTATGGATGTAGTCATGGGAGTGGCCCCTAAAGAATACCTCTCCCTGCTAGCACTCAAGGACCATGCCACCTGGCGAGAGCTCATGAAGGACCTAGTCGACCTAGAGGCCAAGGATCTCGCCAAGCGCAAGAAGGCGCCCGCTGCAGGTGGGAAACCACAACGCAAGCGGTTTGGAAGCAGCAACCAGCTTGCACTGCATGATCATCGGGAGGCATGAGATCAGTCATGTGCGGATGATCTGTCTCTAGATGACGATCTAGAGCCGGACTCCGATACCGGCTGTTCCACATCAGCCATTGAGTGTGACAGAAATGATGAGAAACCTAATGCATTCAGAAAGATTGCTTCAAATAAGGGGCCTAACCGTGGTTCGGGTAAGGGAACTGTCTTACACCTTCCCAAAAATGCTAAGATCCCTGAAAAGCCGGAGGACGCTTCAACGAAGCCTTGGGAAGCCCTCCGCATCAGCCAAAAAGAATGGGAAAGAAGGTCCAAACTGCGCATATGCTTGCATTGTCAAAAGCCTGGGCATGCTGTGCAGGATTGCTATCGTCTTCAGGGAAGCAGGCAAGGGGCGTAGAGGAGTCATCAGCACTCTCTACAACAAGGGATGCTGAGCAGTCAATTGCAGGCCCTTCCGAGGAGCCTGGATCTGGCCAGCAGCCTGCTCTTGAAGCCCGAACTGATGCTGATTCCAAGGCTGGTGCAGTCCAAGTATTATACACTGAGCCTTGGGAGGAGTCTAGGGAAGTTGACCTCCACGCGCACATGGAGCATTGGCTGCAGCTCAAGCAGCAACGCCGTGTTCAGGGGAGCGTGGAGCTAACCTTCTTTAAACTGCTCATTAACCGCCGATACATCCGTGTGCTAATTGACAGTGGTTCGACCACTAATTTCTTCTCTCCGAACGGGATTCGTAAGGCGGGCCTGGGTATGAAGCAAGTGGAACTGCAGAACCCTTGCCGGACTCAGGTGGGCAACCAAGAGGTTGTCACTTCCACTCATGCTGTCAAAAGTGTGCGCATCACCTTTGACAAAGATCGCACTGTCACACATGAGCTGAATTTTTACGTCCTGGACAAGTGTCCTTTGGACGCGGTCATTGGCTTGGGCTGGCTAAAAGCTCATTGCCTAAGGACCACGTGGGCGGACAACCAGTTCGTGGTACTTGACGCCAAGGGGAACGAGCGTACCGTCTTGTTAGATGAGACGCGCGAGTCCCCTGTGACTCTTCTCAGTGCTAACAAATTCTGCAGGTCAGTGCGCAGGCGCAAGGAAGCTGAGTTTGTACATATAGCTCTTGGGAAGCCTCTCCATGTCCCTTCTACTTTTGCTGCATTTTCTACCTCTGAAGGTAACTCTACCTCTACTACTACTTATGTTCCACCTACTTCTACTGTAAATGATCAATCTATTTCTGATCCAAATACTTCGAAACCGGTTGTAATTACTGTAAATTCTCGATCTGATTTTCTCTCCCCTGATAGAAATAATCCGCCACCGGAAATCCCAGCGAACATTCGCCTTCTATTAGATCGATTTCCTGAAGTTTTGGCTGAACCTCGCGGAGTACCCGAGCGTCCAGTCAAACACAAGATCGAGACAGTAGAAGGGAGTGTTCCTCCAAAGGGCTGCGTCTACCGCATGGGACAAGGCAAGTTGGAGGAGCTGCAGGGACAAATCGATGACATGATTGATCGTGGATGGATTAGGCCTAGCTAGTCTGAGTTTGGCGCACCTGTTTTGTTTGTACCAAAGAAAGGAGGCAAACTCCGGATGTGTATTGATTATCGAGGCCTGAATCGAATCACGCGAAAGAATGTGTATCCTTTGCCTCACATTGATGATCTGTTAGATGCGGCAGGTGGGTGCAAGGTTTTCTCCAAGATCGACCTCAAGTCTGGCTACCACCAGATTGAAGTAGATCCGAGCGACCAGCACAAAACTGCGTTCAAGACACGCGATGGGCTGTATGAATTCATCGTTATGTAATGACCCGTCATCACACGGACTGTAACAGACAGCTGATTTCTGAGTTTGCTCGTGGAATGCATGCCGTACTAAGTCCCCTGCCTGTTGAGTGGGTTGTGTTGGGTCTGAGTGCGTGCCTGTATGTGGTYGGCGTGCCTGGGTGATGAATGCGTGCCTGACTGAGTGCTTGAGTGTGTGTGTGACCCCGTCGGGGCCATGGATGTTGGGCAGGCCCGGTAGGGCCGGTACTTACCTGTGGCGTGGCTTGTGAGGGGTGCA